CGGCGACGTCGGGAAACAGTTTTCCAGGTGTGTGGAAATGTCCTGGAGGCGTGGAGGTCCAGAAGCGACAGGACTTGCTCCGGTGTCATGATGCCAGACTGCAACCTAGATCTTCTTGTGCTCAAAGCTGAACTCATGTTTTCCCGATCGTTACTGCGCTGTACACTGGACATGAATTTCAAGCGAGCAATGTCCATGTTGCCTACGAAAGCCTTGGGATCAATCGCCAACAGTCAGACCCAGGTTTTGCCGCGGAAGTTGTTGATGAACACACTACCGAACGGTAACAGTTGTTGATGAACACACTACCGAACGGTAAACTGAGGAAAAGTCAGTTTGGAACCGATAGAGAAGTTAGTCAAAAGTCAGTCTGCTTCATTGCATCCTTATTTGAAAATAAATTGTCGAACGTGTAAGAAATCAGTGCAAGAGGTGCAGTAGTTGATGTACCACAACTGTGAGTAGCCAGTATGCTGAGTCTGAGCACTTACAGGAACACGATCGGAACCACGAGTTTAGAGTGTTTGTTGAACGTAATACAACAACTTTCAGAATATGACAAACATCCATGCAACGGTAAGGAAGAGACGGCGATATTTCGGGTGTGTGTTCAACAAAACACGAGATACAGTACATCCAGTAAAGAATTACCATAAATGTTCGACTAAATCCCGTAGGCATCGCTGTTGAAGCCAACTTGATTTACCAGTGCGTGTTGTCAAGACTATCACCCTTTGGGCTTTGTGCTATTCAGTCTGTCGTAAACTCTTGTAAGGAAAGCAAGAAAGTGAACAGCTTGGTGTAGCAACCAAGGTCACTCATGCGCTGAAACCGTGTAAGTCCCACTGGATTCCACTCAGTTTTATCTGGTTAGTACATTACCTGAGAAGTGATTTAAGGCACGCTTGATCTCAATTGTCCAAAAAAGTAGAAGTATATGCCTTTTGGTTATTTTTGTTTAGTTTTAGACAGTAAGATTGGGAAAATACCACTCCTTGTATCGCCAAACAACTAAGCAATCTGTAGGAATTTGGTTAATAGTTCTTCAGGCAATAAAGTTGTCGCAAAAGTTCGAGACCCCGGTTGTTGGCCCATGTTATTGGTTGCACGACTTAGGCCAATCAGATCCTTGTTAACAAAAGGCCACCATTTACGCCCATGTTGGTCCACGTGACCAGGCTTTATCCTGCGTCCCTTTTGACCGGAATTTAGATTTTGAATTTCTGGTACTGATTCCCATGTTTGTCAACTTGTCACATATGTAATGCTTACTGTGGCTGACAGGACCGTCCGAAGCGGCTCTATCCCAAACAATGATATTCTCGATGGAACACACTACCCATAATATTTCTGAAAACTCTTCTTCAGCCCACGACCCATATCGTTCTTGGGTGTGAGTTTATTTGACCGATTACATACAAATTGGTTTTCAACTAGAACACAAGGCTGACGGAAACATAGGATTGACTGTGCTAGGTTGGGTATACAAAAATAGAGACCAGACGGAACAGACTCACTAACAATTGTTCTCTTTATAAT